ATGCCCCTTCTGCGCATGTTTTTCATGTGCAGATCCAGGTACCGCTACTCAAGCCTACCATCCTTGAGGGAAGCGACTGATTTAGAGACTTCGAGGTACATCTGCTGCGTCCGCAGACCGATGAGTCCCTTTCTATTCCTGCTTTTTAGTATTTAGCCCTTCTGTACTTTCTGTTCTTATTAGACATTCTGGAGTTAGAGTTATGTAGTATTTTTATTAGCTTGTGATTCGTGGGTTTTCGGGTCTTGGATTTATGTATTGGTATTGAGAGTTAAACATAGTGTATGCCGAGCGGCACATTTAAACATTGTTATTACTTTATTTCTGTTTTAAATAGTTTTACTTCCGCAAATTTTGGTTTTTCTTCCGCAAATTTAGGTTTACCTAGTCATAGAGACTAGGTGCCGTCACGATGGTTCACAGAGGGCGAACCGGGGTCGTGACATCTATCTTTTTTCTTTTTCTTCCTCTTTACAAATATTTTGGGTCTTCCTTTTTTTCTTTACCAAAAACATTTGTGACTATTTTGATTTTATTTATTTCAAAATCATAGTACAAGAACAAGAGTACAGCAGAAAAGTTCCAGTTTTATGCTGCAAGGTCAAAAGAAGGTTGTCGTCATAATGATTTATTTGTTGCTTATCAAAAGATATCTTTACTTCAATTATGTACAATATTATCTCTCAACATGCACAACTAACTTTAGTTTATATCTTTTTCTTCATATAATTGGTAGCTTTAAGATGAAATTTATTTAGTTTTTCATAATTAGAGTATTATATAGTTTAGTACTATTTAGATCTTTATCAATTAGATGACACTTAAATAAACTTCATATAATATATAGAAGTATCTGCTCAAAATAAACCAAAATTATAAAATTAACCCAATAGTAATATACTATATAAGTGTTTTTGCTCTCATAAAAAGGGAATAATATCTAAATTAGTCATTAGCATAATGGTCTTTTGATAAATTATGTATATTTTTAAAACCGCGCGAATTGACTAGTTTTAATATGAAAAGATGAACAAAATAAAAAGGGGCGTAAGTCTTGTCCATTAGATACATGTCACTTCAAAAACAATTTCCAAATGCCTTAATCAATGAAGTCATAATTAAAGTTGTTGTCTGAAATTTAAACATAATTATTTCTCTGTAATTGCAATGAGGTGAATTATTATTGGTATGAAACATCTTACGTCAGAAATTAGATGACAAAAGTCAAACGCCGCGTAAAATCTTATCACTAATGGTCTTTGTAACAAGTTCAAGTGGAAGGGGCCAAGGGGGTTGGAATTGTTGCAGCTACAGCTACGAAATTATATGGAAATTTTCAAGAAAAACCAACACATGATAGGTACGTCTTATGCTATTGACAATTTCAAGGAATTCGAAATTTCTTTTTGTTTATTTTTCATCTAATCTATTTCATCCATCAGTTTTATTAAAGATACAGGACTATACATGAGACCAATACACATAAATCATAATATTTCTCGTCCCAACAAAAACAAAATAGAGATTCAAAATACATGGAATAGAATGATTCACTATAAATCTATAATTTTAGATAAATGTTTTATCTAATCAACTATGTTCATCGACTTAAAAAATATTTTTCTTGAACTGGGAGTCTATTCGAAATAGCTTTTCTATCTAAAAAAAGGTAGAGATAAGGTTTTCGTACACCTCAACCTTCCCAAACCCAATTTTTAAGATCACACCGGATATGTTATTTGTGTTCATCGGCACATAATATGCCAACAATAGACTTACTAAGAGATATTTGACAAAATTATATGTAAGAGGAACAAAAACACGATAGAGATTCAAGGTAACGCGTATGATATTTTGGTTTCAATTAGAATATTAATTTATTGTTTTTTAATATTATGCAAATTTAAAATTTTGGGCAAAAGTAATGTAAATTGCAGGCTTTCATAGACAAACATGTATAGGGAATATTTGAAAGTGGCAGTAGTCATTGCTATCTGGAATTAAAGTCTAAAACAAACTTTCACGCACTAATTTCATGTTCCAGCGTTTCACTCCCACCAATTATTCTACTCTTCCAATAACCAGATAACTTAAATTAGACGGAAAGCTTGTAATTAACTTCTAAAATCACATACTTCATGATACAATGAACAGAGACTGTCATTACAGAGTTAAGTCTTATATTCATTTACTTATTGGGTTATGCGACTATTATTTATGATATTTACTAATATAAGGCAAGTCCCAAATTCAACATTAATGTATGGACTTTTTGATGACATGGGGATAACAAGGCTCACTAAGTTAGTATTTAAGCCTTAATAAAAACTTACTACTAGTATTTATTGAAAACATAATATACACACCATGATACATAACTACACACCCTATGACGATCTCCTTAACAATCAAATCATTTACAACATATATAGACATTTGACCATTGAAGAAGTTCTTAAAGTCAGGACCATGAATTCATCTTAAATTGTTTCTAGGCCATATGCTTTAATTATCTAATTTGAACACAAAGTGGCATGGCAACAGTGTGGTCTAATGCTCCCTTCTCATTGAAGAGTAATTAATATAGCAAACACATGCAACTTTTATGTGACATCTTTCATACGCTTGGAGTTTACTTATCAATGCATATATAAATCTAATGACTTATAGAAAAGACAATAATTGCAAAAGTAAGATCTAATACTTAGTAGAAGCTGATTCGATTAGAAAGAAATCTTGATACATTATGTTTAAGTTGTTCCCAAGCATCAAATCTCAAAACTTGAAGTGAATTCTGAAAGAGATTTTGCGGATACATATTTCTCATCTCCATTTTCCCATCCTAACTCATCGCGGTTGATTATTTAGATAGTAGAGTAGACCATTTCTAACAGATTATCTAGAATGTAAACCTAGTGTCGGCTAGGCATAGATCGATAAAAGGAGAAGAAAAAGAGAGCATTTTCAATTTCAAGCAGAAGTGTAGACCAGTTCCCTTACAACTAATAGCAGAGCTTCAGAAGTTTGCAGGAAACATAACAAAGCTTCAGAAGTTTGCATGTTAAAATAACAAAGCTTCGGAAGACATGACAAATATACAATGCATCTAAAGATCTCATATATACCAGATTCAGACTACTAACATGACTCCTTATTCAGCAATAGATGGTATTCGAGTCACAATGCACTTTAACTCTTTAGTTTTTCAGACCATTCACGAAACACAGATAGAAAAGCTGGGCCTGATCACTTAACCTCACCATCCTCTCTGAGAACCACCAGATGAATGTCCATTCAACCTGTCTAAGACAGCATTAAAATCGACAGGCTGACCACTTTCCTCAAGCCTTTGGATCACATTAATAACATGATCAGCGCGGTAGCCCATACTCACCATCTTTTCAATCAGCTCTTTGAATGGATGGTTCCGCACCAACTGAGGTGGACGAACCATCAGATTTGCACTGGGGGTAGGCTGCGGATTTTGGGGAGGGAAGCTGGAGGGAGGATAACCACTTTGTGAGAAATTTGGTTGTGGTGGTGGATGGCCCCTTGTGCCTTCACCATCATACATCACATATGCATTTCCTGGAGAGAGTGTTGGATGAGCTNAAGTGTTGGATGAGCTCCATTAGCTGCATACCCATCGCCCACTGCACCAAATGAAGGCTTAAGATGCGGCGCCACAGGCTGTTGCTGAAGGGGCCTGCCAGACCTATCATACCCATAAGACATTGCTTCGGGACGGCTAGCAACTGGTTGAGATATTCCAGAAAATGGCACTTGCATTGGCATACTATTGGGTGCCGTCTCAGGAGGAGGATTAGGCTGACTGGGCGGATAAGAGGGATAAACAGCAGGTGATGTAGGTCTAGCTTGCTGTTGCATACTTGGTATTTGTGAATGTTGAACCTGTTGAGGCACCTGTTGGGCCCACTGCTGCTGATATTGGGGCACTGACTGGACTTGTGGTGTCTGATTCACCTGAGGTGGCGCTGGCTGTGGTGGTACTTGCATTTGAGGATTTCGATACTGGGAGTCAGATGACAAATACTGGCCTTGAGGAAACTGAGTTGGAGCTTGTTGATTTACCATCTGAGGAGAGGGTAAATAATATCCTTGTGACTGGGGCATACTTTGGGATGGAATTGGTTGCGGAGGCTGCACTGGTAGCTGTTGTGGCTGCTCCACAGGTCGGTTAGTAAGAGAAGCCTGGGGTGCCACTTGATGAGGTAGTGCAAGAGCCAGTTGCTGTCCATGCCCTTCAGGTGAGTTATCACTTTTTTTAGCATCAGACAGGTGTTGAGCATTCTTCTCGTCATTCTGCTGAGAAATGCTGGATGAAGTTGAGTCTTTCTGTGCGAGCTGAAGCTTGGCCAGCTCCTTTTGAGTTTCAGCAAGTTCTTGTTTATCTCTTAGAATCTGCACAGATCGGTGGACCTGCAGGATGAACAGTTTAGTAAATCAATAGTTATTTAAGTTTTTGAATGGAATCAACAGCTATTTAAGTTATAGACACAATGTGATGGAAAAACCATTGAACACCAAAGAGCAACTTGAAAATTGCCAGTGGGCAAGAACGAAATCATCCATATGCCTTAGAACCAACAAAAGCACAAGTTTAGAGGCATAAGAATATCAGAAAGTGCATCTAGAGCTTCAAGCACAAAATCAACAAAAAAGACCAACAAAAAAGCACGTCTCTGCAGAGAAATAGGAAAGAAAAATATTCCAAGTCAATCGGCATTATTGGTGTCTCTGTTATAATGGGGAGTTATTCTACTCACAACAGATTTCCTCCAAACTAGACCAACCCAAATCAGATAAATAGTGAATTTTGTCAACTGGCCACGTTAACTAATGGAGAAGATGTCTAGTTTAAAAAAATTCTCTACGTGCAGTCACATTTAAAAGCTAAAAACAGATCTGCACCACACAAACTTATCCAGAAACTGCAGGTCCAAGAAAATTCAGCAGACATAAAGCTGCTAATTTCAAGTAAAAATCAAGAAACACATTCCCCTATATGTATCTCAGTTACACTATACCGAAATGTGTGCTGCCTTATATAAGTAACAGGTCAATTTTTAAACTAATTTAAGACATAAGGGAGTGGTAAGCTTTTAAGAGTCTAACTTTATGTAATCCCCCCCCCCCCCCCCCCCCAAAGCCGTGAACTAACCTCTTGCACATGCTTCTCAAGAGCCTTCAGTTTTGAATCTGCCTCACCATGATCCCGAACTAAATCAGAGCGCATTTCTCCAATAGACTTATCAAGATTGTAACAGTATAATTCCAACTGCGACAAGCGTGAGCTTATTCCCTCTAGGAAACGCATGAGATTGTCAGCATATTTCTTCATGGTCTTCTCAACAGTAGATATCATGTCTTGATTGAAGGAAGATTCTTCTGGTGGACTATATGCTGGAGCAGGAAACATTGATGACCTTGTCATTCTGCTTTTGTGGAACTCCTACTCAATACAAGAGCAAAATTAAGTTAAAATTCTTAAAAAGCAATGCTTCTACAAATTTATACCCTAATTGAGTTATACTGAATTAAAAAGGTTAGATTAGATGAATATAGTAGCATGGATCTTTGTATCAATACTCGCAAAGATTACATAAGCATTATTGTGGAGTAGAACTTAATCCTTATGGTAACGCGAAATTGGTCCAAATAAGGCCCATTAATGCAACTATTTGATGGTCACTTTCAAAGTGCTAGATAAAACCCAGGCGCAAGTTTCACCATCAGACCTTAAAACCAGTTCAACCCAAGGATATGTGCACCAATGATTTTTTTCCATCAATACTGCGCCAGATGATTTTTTTTAATCAATACTGTGCTAAATGAATGATTTCAATGAAATACAACTTCTTGTACCATATAAAGATTGGCATGACAGAGTACCCCCCCGGGG